ACTTCGGCTGGACATGCTGTACCTGTAAGCACGCTGTAGGGGAGCGAGCGCTGCCACCATGCTTCACGCCCTCCACAGCAGACCGTCGGCCAGTGATGCATTTTCGCATAGCTTCACGATCAGAGGAGGCTGTTGGGTCGTCCTCTTGTTCCAAGCTAGCCTCCTTCAGATTCACGGCGAGTTGGAATACTCCCATTGGAAAATCTACTGAGATATTTTCCCTGATTGTCCTTCTCAGTGATCTGCCATCTGTGGCCGTAGGGAGGGCAAATGTTGTGTCCGTTGCCACTTGCCATACTTGGATTTTTTTACTGTACCTTACCGGAACCAGCGGGCGGATGGAGCGCAACGTGCTGCGATCTGCCACAGCTGTTTTCGATACATGTGATTTGTCATCTGTGGCCATAGGGAGAGCAAATGTTGCGTCCATTGCCACTTGCCTTTCTTGGWWTTTTTTWCYGWWCYTTCAAGAACCAGCGGGCGGATGGAGCGCAACGTGCTGCGATCTGCCACAGCTGTTTTCAATACATGTGGAGCTTTGTGTTCGGTCACCTGCTGGACTGTGCAGTAACTGGCGGCGTTGGCTAAGTTCTGATCGAAACGTCTTTTTGTCCGTGCTGCTACAATTGAGATTTCCTTCAGAATCAGACAAGTGTCCGTTATCTTTTCCAGCTTGAGCTGGTGTCTGTCTGGGTCTTTTGCCTCTTCCCATTGCAGGCTTCCATCTCTTCGGTATCATCCCTCTTTTAGGGTCCGTAAATAATGTACTCTCTTTCATGCTTTCTATATCATCCTTTGCTTGTTCCCTCTGCCTTCTCTTTTCGCCGTACTTGAAAGCAAAAATTTTGGATAATTCTATGAGTTGCCTCAGAGGTCCGTGCTGGTTGGCATCTGTTGAAATCCCTGCCACCAGATTCTTAGCGTGATCCGATCGACGGGTTTTTTTCGTGTGTTTGAGGACTGCCACTCTAATATCAAATTATTTTTCCCTCTTGTATTTAGTCTTTTCAAGATAAGACTGTAGCCATTCCATCAGGCTTCAGCTTGTTTGCTCATTGAGCTGGCTCAGGGTGCAGTGCCGTGGTAAAGTTCTGCCTCCGTCCTTGTTTTTGCAGGAGCGGGGTCGTCTCCCTGTGTTGTTTGGTCCACCTCCATTTGAACAGTGGAGGTCGTCATGTTCGTATCTAGTGTCGTTTGGTCAAACGCTCCTCTATTTTATCCCTCCGGATTCTTCCAGAATCAGCTTTACTGGGGACGCCGGTCTTTTAAGATCTGCTGAGTTCTTGGAATGACGGTGCTCTGCGATCTTTTTTTTTTTCATCTGATAGGGGACTCTCCTCTTCCATATGTTCCTGATAGGTCATGCCGGTGTTGTGCCTGATATTCTCATGTCGCAGAGAATCTCATCTTGTTTTTTCTCTTCTTGGATGTAGCGGGTGTCGATCAGAGGGTCTTTGGTGATTTGATTTGAATGCCTACTCTCCGTACGCCATTTGCTGTCTGCCCGGGGGAAGATTCCGGGTCTCTTTGTGGAAGGCTCTTTATCCTTGAGAGTCCAGATCCATTCCCGGTCCGCCAGGTTGTCATCGAAGACCCAACCGTTGTAGTCTGGGCCCTTGATGTACCAGATTCCGTTGACTTGCTCAACCTCCACCAACATGTTTTGTCAGAGTATTTTGACTCACATGCTCACGGGAGAGAGGACACCGCAGGTCTGTCCCAAAATGGCCTCTTTCCCTACAATGAAAGCAGATCGGGGAATGTTTGGTCGAGATCACCACCATTGAGCGAGAGTTACCGATTATAAAATCCCAAGTATCAGGGAAAACAGGTGGGTCGTCCATCTGACCATCTAGGATTGCTGTCACGGCGTCGCAGTGCGGGGTTAGAAAATCTTGAGTTGGAAGTACCCATTTCAAAATTCTATTTGCTGGGTACTCTGCCTCCAGTCTATCCCTGATCAGCGTGTGTCCTCTAATCGGAATGTCATCAAATTGAACCCAACATTGTTCTCTCAACAGTTTCTGGAACTTTCGGCTCGTTCATGTTCGCCTGTGTGTTTTCAACTCTTTGTGAGGTGTTCAGAGTCCATTTCATTAGCGTGCCTACTGACCCATGGCAGTTCAGTGTCTCAAATCTCTCATGTAAGTGTGCAGCGTAAGAGGCGTCCGGAAAGACTGCCATGATCAAGTTTCTGCTCAGATTGTGCAGGGAGAAAGCATCATCATCTAATTTGACATTTTCTTGATCTTGGATTGCTTTGGTTATCTATCTTCGCTTCTCCACAGGCAGGAAGCCTTGCCCCAGTGTTAGAGAAAATGAAGACTACTGCGTGCTTCTCGAAGACTTTATTAAGCAGTGATCCTCTCTGCCTGAAAAACCCAAGCTACAAGTTCTTCTTCCTTTCCCTCTTTTATTACTTTCTTAAAGTTTCTTTACTATTTTTTCCTCCTTTTACTGTCAAATCGAGCAGAACTGTCAGTGTGGCGTGATCAGTTGTCGGGATGGACTTTATTAAGCAGTGATCCTCTCTGCCTGAAAACCCCAAGCTACAAGTTCTTCTTCCTTTCCCTCTTTTATTACTTTCTTAAAGTTTCTTTACTATTTTTTCCTCCTTTTACTGTCAAATCGAGCAGAAATGTCAGTGTGGCGTGATCAGTTGTCGGGATGGTGCTCGAAGTGCCCATTTTAAGTGTCGATGGAGGTCGAGCGGCAGCATACCTCCTCTGATAGGTGGTCGTGTTCGCCATTTCTGTAAGGAAGGGATCTCCTCGTCGGCTTGGACCGGGAGAGAATAAATCGATCTTGGGGAGGTGGGGGTTGGAGGGGGGGAGAGGTACTGCTGGAGGGGGGAGTCACAGGGGTTCTTAGGAGAAGAGGGGTATTATGTGATAGGCTGCGGGGGTATACTCTTCTTTGGAGCGGGTGCAATGTGGAGCAATGGGGCGCGTGGCCGAGGTGGGGACGGGCCATAAGAAAAGGCAGAGAGAGGAACGGACAGGCCAGCAGCTATACGGGGAGGAGAAGTTGGTGGATCGGTGACGCAGAGGGTGGTAGAGGTGGTGGATAATGGGGAAGGACTTCAACTAAAGAAACTATGAGAGGGAATCGGGGATGGCATATTTATGAGATCCACCGGGGGAACGAGCCACTCAGAAAGGAGGGATGGAAGATCTGGGCGGGGGAACCGGCTGATGTGGGTATCGCGAGCGGGTTGGTGAAAAGGGCGATTACCTTTTAGTTATGTATGGCCGTGGATGGGGAGTGGAATTGCTGATGGGGGGGGGAGGGGGGGGTGCTGAGCTTAGCTTGGGGGCAGATTCTGCCAAGGGGATGGGAGCAGGAAGCCGTTGCGAGATAGAATTAAGGTGCGTAGGCTGGGTCGAAGGAGAGAACGTGGAATCGGAACAGGGCAAGGAGACAGGATCGGGAGCGGCGGAAGGAGGGCCGAAAGGATCAGAGGGGATGGACGGAGAATTTGTTCAGGGTGGCCGTATGACTTGAGTCTCGTGTATGGGTTGGCGAGAGGTCGGCTACACTTCCATTGCGTACAGTAGTGAGGTAGGAGTGGCTGTGAAGAAGCAGGAGGATAGGATGAATAAGGGGGGGGGTGGGGTTGGATTGGAAGCGGAATCAGTGGGGGGTAAAGGAGTGAGATTTTGTTGCGTGAAGGAGGTTTGAAAACAGGTGAGGTCGACAGATCGAGGGCGGGGTCATCCGGGGAGGTGGAAGCCTGGATCAGGGGCAAAGGAGGTAGAGATGGCGTATCATGGAGAAGTGGAAGATGGGAGGCGGTGCATGGCAGATTGGTCCAGCAAGAAGGGTAGAAGGCCAACCAGATGTTACCACCTGTTGTTGAAGGCTCCTCAGCTTGTACTTTGTTAGTGTCTCGTCGTAGAAGCCTCCTATATGAAAGCCAGGTGTCATCTCCTTTGCAGCCGAATGCAGTGAATGGAGCTTGGAGTTCTTGTGGGTCGGAGGCGCTGTCCGTCCCAAAACGCGCCGAATTGCTCCAGCTGTCAGCACTTAGCCTATTGGGAAAGAAGATAAAGCGCGCCATGGCGCACCCAATTCGAAGTTGAGAGCTCTGTTGGCATGCAAGCTACTGGACGTGAATAAAACGACGGGCAGCCGGCCGGTACCGGCCATGGCGCTAGCGCTGGCCCGTTACTAAAGCCCAAAAGGGCCTAGAATTTAAGCTTTGACCCTGGATTGCCAATACTGACACCCAAACCCTTTTTTTGAAAGCAGTACTGGAAGGCAAACCTCTTTTCTGTGTTTCAAAGTGTTATGTTAGCTTGTGAAAGTTTTCCCGTTTTTTCTCAAATTGTATGCTGCATCCTTGTGCAGGGGACAGGAGTGTTGTTCACTCACTGAAATTGTTGCAATTATAATGGCTGTCCCCTAGCACTGAAACCCTAGTATCTTACAAAGGCATCGCACTACTAAGGGAAGCAACCCCTCACAGCAATGTGCTGGACAGGATGTCAGGACTTGAGCTCTTAACCTGTCAGTCAACATTTCCAGGTGTTCAACCTTCTCATCGACAATCAGTATGTGAATTTCTGTACCTTACAGCTTATCTGTGTGGCAACAAGAGAGGCAACCAGCCTTTTGCATGGTCAAGTGATTGTCCTGTGAATTTACTCCAAATAACCTCCTCAAGGTGACAAGATTCGAGCCTACGACCCTCTGTGCCCGAAGCAGATGTGCAACCAGCCTTGCACTACTAAAAGGGTAGCCTGCCATTGCATGCTTTCAAGGTTCTCACTGTAGATGGTGAAATAACAGTGAAATTTGCCAAAAAAACAAAAAAACAAAAAAAAACACACTAAAAAAATTATGCAGTCCGAGAGACAAGGTTCAGTTTTCTTTTTCTCGGGAAAATAATAAGAAAAAAAAGATTTGAAAGACAAGATTCATACCCTCGGCATGCTCAGAGATTGAGGAAGAAAAATGTGTATAAGTTACTGAAGTCTCCGAAGGCCATCCCTACTGACCTCCTCCTCGGCAAGTGTGAGCCCGCCCAGTCGAGTCAGAGATAGGAGGGAATCTATCACCCCAACAAAGTGAAGCTGATCTTTAGGCAGAATCACAAAATCTGGGCCCGGATCGGGAATCGCAACCCCATCTCTTTCTATCTGAACAAGAACGAGTCCAGGCTGCAAGCAAAGACCTCCCTCCTCCACTGATTTCCGCGCCAATGACGATTTCTGCTGCACCACAAGCACAAGATTGTATTCCCTGCACACAACAGTGAAACACTCGGAATCGGTTTCTGGAAAGATTTAACAAGATTTATACATATAATACATAGATACATACACGGATGTTGCCATACAGAACTGCCCAGTGATGTTCAGGCAGAGAGAGAGAAAAGGACAACAAGCAAGGGGCTACGATATATATATGCTGATTGACTGATCAGAGCAGTCGGAATTTTCCGACAATTCGCTCTCTAAAGACAGCATAAGTAAAAGCAGTGTCCGTACCTGGCTTTGTTGGCCGAATGGTGCATTGAAAAAGATGAACAGATGCAATGTCTGAACCCTGCTGGATGCAATAAGACTTGTTGGGGGCTACCCCTTCTCAAGAAAAGTGAAAATTGAAATTAGAAAACAAAGACACCAGGGAGTCCAGGGACTTGCTATGCGATCAAGCACCAGAAAGCAGTTCCAAGTTCCCCAAGTTCCAAGCTCACCTAGTTTGGATCAGAAAACAGTCCAAGTTTTTCATTAGTTTGGATTTGCAGGGAAAAGAAACAAGAAAAGAACAATGTATACAGTATAAAGTACTATAAACTGACTCTGCGGTATTTTATTTACCCAAAGAATAACATGAGCATGAGAAAAAAAAACTCTCACCACCAACTGCAATCTCCCCTCATGTTCGCATATCACACACACACACACACGCACACACACACACACACACACACACACACACACACACACACACACACCTGCTCTCCGATTTCGTTCTTTTTTCTTTCTTTTTTTTTGTCCCCTACCCTATGAAAATCAGATACTAAGCTGATTGGAACAGATAGTATCCGAGTGCACTTGGTCATCGCCAACAGGCCATGATATATGCATCTGTGATCTGTCCCTTACCCTCTTCACGGTTACCATCACAGTTAAAGAGGTACTCAGCAGGAGTCACCTTCACGACCCAGTTAAATTTGTTATCCCTAATTCGAGCTTTACTTTTTTCCTACCTTCTACCCTCATTTCCCCCCCTCTAAGCCCCAGGTAATGACGAAGAAAAAAGAGGTGCTCAGGAGTCATCTTCACAACCCGGTAACATTTTTCATTCCCGTTTCAAACGCCTCTCTTCGCTACCATCTACACTCATTTCCCCCCCTCTAAGCCCAGGTAATGACGAAGAAAAAAAAGGTGCTCAGGAGTCATCTTCACGACCCGGTAACGTTTTTCAGTCCCGTTTCAAACGCCTCTCTTCCCTACCTTCTACCGTCATTTCCCCCCCTCTAAGCCCAGGTAATGACGAAGAAACACACCACATAAGCGGACTCTGGGGTCACCTTTGCCAGCCGACAACCTTTGTCATTTCCATGGCACGGCGGGCTTCGAAAAATGGGAGGAGACTGATAATGCATCCGAGATCTGCATCCCTTGGTTCTTCTTCAGAATGAACGTAGCTGACAATTATAGGAAGCTATGTGCTTTATGAAGAAAAAACGCCCATTCATGCAAGGCGTATCACTCCCCAGTTTCACCCTCTCATTGCTCTTTTTCAAAGCGAAGGAAGGGAGAGTGATAATGCATCTGTGATCTCTATCCCTTGGTTCTTCTTCAGAATGAACATAGCTGACAATATGAAGAAAAAACGCCCATTCATGCAAGGCGCATCACTCCCAGTTTCTACCTCTAATTGCTTTTTTTAAACGAAGGGTAAAAAAACAGGTCCCTACGGTCCTGAATCCATATCCATTCTGCAGAGCATCAGTCCAGTTCCCTTCCACTGGCAAGTTCGTCAAACGATTACATAGATAGACACCACGAGCTTTCTTTACCTTCTCTTTCGTCAAAAAGAGGGTACTCCTGATCAGCTTGTCAAGTTACAAACGTAAACGATTCTCTGCCATTTCTTCTGCACTGGAAACCAGTCATTGTGTTTGATTCTCCATCCTTGCAAATCACATTAGGCTGTTGACTTGTGCTTGGACTTGGGGTTGCATTTGGGGTTAAGATTGGGTTTGGGCTTGGGCTTGGGCTGGGGCTGGGGCTTGGGCTTGGGCTGGGGCTTGGACTTGGGCTTGGGCTTGGGCTTGGGCTTGGGCTTCGCCTTATTAGCACAAGAGTTGGGCAAAGCTGAGGCAGGGCTTGGGCTTGGGATTGTGCTTGGGCTTGGACTTGGCATTAGCATGGGGGTCGAGCATGGGCCCTGGGGGCTTGGGCTTGGGTTAGGGGTTGAGCTTGGGCTTGGACTTGAGCTTGGGCTTGGTTTTGGGGTTAGGCAATGTTCAAGCTTGGGCTTGGGCTTGGGCTTGGGCTTGAGCATAAAGATGGGGGTTGGGCACGAGCTTGGGGTTGGCTGGGGGTTGGCTTGCGGTTGAGCTTGGGCTTGGGCTTGAGTTTGGGGTTGAGGTTGATCTTGGGCCGGGTTTGAGGATGGGGGTGCATATGAGCTTGGGCTTGGGCTTTCAGCTTGAGCATGGTGATTGAGCATGCGCTTGGGTTTGGGGCACGAATTGATACGGGTTCCCCGTCAGATATGTGAAATCCCAGAGTAAGACAAGGAACCAATCTCTGGAAACTGTCACATTATATTAGTCACTAATCTAGGCAATGTTTCTTTTAAACCAATTTGTTTAAACGAGATCTTCACAAGCGAGACACAGAAGATGAAAGACATTGATCACTGGGGGAGGTTCTACAAATTTTCTTTACCTGGCATTGATATGTGTCAGTTCCATTGCTAGGCGATCTGGGAGAAGCTTGGAAGACAAAGTGATCATATAGATGAGCCCTGTAAGTGTCACAGGCAATCCAATTTTCCCAACTTCAAAGAACCCTATCTTCAATTCTGGAACACTTTTGGTACCAAGGGAAAGGACAACAATATTTGTTGCTGAACCAATGATCGTAAGCAACCCTCCCAGCAAAGAAGAAAAGCTCAGGGGCATGAGCATCTTGGAAGGAGCAATATTCACCTGCATACCAGTTGACACCCGTCAAAAGTTAGTAATAAAAACTCACAACTGGGCGTTCAGGATTTAGGGTTTAGGGGTTAATGTTTAACAGAGTTTCGGGGTTAGTGGTTCAGGGTTAGGAGTTAAGTAGGGTTTTGGGGTTAGGCTAGGGGCTGTCTCTTATACACATCTAGATGTGTATAAGAGACAGGTCACAGAGTTTCGGGGTTGGTGGTTCAGGGTTAGGAGTTAAGTAGGGTTTTGGGGTTAGGCTAGGGGTTAGGAGTTACATTAGGGGTTGGCGGTCTGTGGGGTTTAAGGAATTAGAGGACTTCAAGGTTGGGGGTCAGGGGTAGGGGTGTGTGGGGTTTAAGGAATTAGAGCACAAGAGGTTGCGAGTTAAAAAAAGAAGTCATAGGTTATGGGTTAGTTAGGGGTTAGGGGTTAAGAGTTAGCAGGGTTAATCTTAGGGTTTAGGGAGGTTTGGAGCTCAGGGATTCAGGAATAGGGGTTCTGGTGTAGAATTCTGGGCGTAAGAAGCAGTCAGGGTTTCGGGTTACAGTTTGGGGGTTAGTAGTTCGGGGTTAGGCTGGGGGTTGGGAATTAGGGGTTAGGGGTAAGTGGGGGTTCAGGATTCAGCACGGACTCTACCTTCAACTTGTTTCAAGGCGACTATACTAACCACCTGAAGTTGTTTCACATATAGTCGGAGTTGCGAGTTAGAATATAGGGGTTATGGCTTGCAGGTTATTTAGGGCTAGGGGTCAAGCGTTAGGCGGTTCAATCTTAGGGTTTAGGAGTTCAGGATTCAGGATTAGGGGCTATGCTGTAAATTTCAGCGGTTAAGAAGAAGTTAGGGTTTAGGGTTTACGGATTAGGGGTTAGTTTAGGGGATACGAACTAGGGGTTTGTAATTTAGGGTTCAGGGTTTGGGTAGGAGTTGGAAGTTTCCAGGTCCGTGGGTTAGGGATTTAGGGTTTAAGCAAGGACCTAAAAAGTTTAGGACATGCAAACACAGACTTCATGTCATAATCATTACGCAAAAGGGTAAAACTAACAGATGACAGGATTAACAGTGAACTCATCAACTCACTGTGTCTTAACTTACCGGCAGTAAATAAAGGAAAGGAGATGAGGAAGTGCACGAGAGAGAGAGAAGAGGGAGAAAGAGGAAGGGAGATGGAGAGAGAGGCTAACAGATGAATCAGAAGTGGCTGACATTGCAGAGAAATGTCAGCAAAAATTGTAGGATGCAGAAAGTGGAAGTACAATAACCCCCACCCCTGCACAACTCATTACCAAAGACGAGAAAACAGAACAAAAAGAACAGGTTATTATTCAACGTCAGCAATTGTAAGACGCAGACCTCCAACGTACTACAACTTTTTTCTTCTTCAAAACAACTGTAGTACTGTACCAGTAATTGTACCATTTAACTTGAAACGAGAGAATTAGAAAAAAGGAGAAAACCAAAGATCACAACTTCCCTAGATGTTCGACCTTCCGAGCAACCATTAATGCACACGAGTACTCCTGGGCCTGTAGCTGCACTTCCCCCCAACCTTGGGGACACTTCAGCAGATTTAACAAAGATTCGAGTCTTTGATGCAATTTCCAAACTGCCAGCGGCACACTTTTCTTTTTTTTTGAGGGGGGCTGGTGCTGCCAGCCATTGTGGTCCAGTAGCCCCAAGCCCCGACAAGTTCTGGAGTTGGCAACTCAGAATTTTCTGCAAGCATCGGGCCGAGTAGCGGGCTTTTAAGAAGGCTTTTAAGAGGGGAACGATGCCGAGAAGAACGATTACTCAGCCCCTTCTCGAGGGCGACAACACGAACAACTTGGGAAAATCTAAATCTAACCTCCCCCTCCCTCCCCCCCCAAGCCCCCTACCACCAAAATAAAAAATAAAAAATACAAAGACGTTCATCAGAAATTCAGAGAACCCTAGGCATTGTCATTTCGTTTCATCAACGGTTACCCAGAGGTTAGGATACTTAGCTCTTTCGGCCAAGGGTGCTCTTTCCATCAAGGGTGCCGGTTCGAGTCCACACAGAGTCATGGGTACGTCCGTGGATGATAAATGTAACGAAATGGGTACGTCCGTGGATGATAAATGTAACGAAAACCCACACTCCAAACTGGACATTTTTTTAAATGAGTTTCGTTGTGGTGTCTTCTCCCTGTGTTAAAGCATAATCCAATTAATTAGCCCTGACTACAACGATTGGGGTATCCCCATTTCTGCTTCTTATTCAGGCGTCATTCCAGACCCGTACACATTCTGCGTTTGTTGCATCAACAGTTACCACACAGCAACTTGAATATGTGAGCAATTGGGAGACAGGGCAAGGCAAGGACAAAAGGGTGTTGACACGGCAAGAGGAAAGGGGAGAAGACGTTATCGGCAGTACTAGAGGCAAGCAGGTCAACGAGAGAAGAGAAAGAAGAGAAGGAAAAAAGAGAGAAGAGAAGAGTAGAGAGAAGAGAGAAGAGAGAAGAGAATAGAAAGAAGGTTACCGCTACAATATGAGCAGGCACGTCAATGAGAGGAGGGAAGAGAAAGAGAGAAAGAGAGAAAGAGAGAAAGAGAGAAAGAGAGAAAGAGAGAGAGAGAAAGAGAGAAAGAGAGAAAGAGAGAGAGAGAAAGAGAGAGAGAGAGAGAGAAAGAGAGAAAAGAGAGAGGAGAGACAGAAGAGACCGAAGAGGCAAATGAGACAGAAGAGAAGAGAAGAAAGAAAAGAAAAAAGATAGAGGAGCGAGAGAAGAGAGAGAAGAAAGAGAGAAGAAGAGAAGAGAGAGCAGAGAGAGAGGAGCAAGAACTTTAAGAGAGAAGATGAGGACTGAGAACAGCCAACATATCAATAGAAAAATCGGGCGGTGGGGACCAAGAAGACATGGAAGGCTGGAGTGGCGGCCAGCCGAAACCGGTCGGATTACGCCTCGGTTGACTTGGCTCGGCGTTTTCATGATAATTTTTACAGGCCAGTCGCGCTCGGGAGAACACTTTTATCTTGTGTCAGTAGTTTTCTTTTCTCCTCCCTCTTTCTTCCTCCTCCTTTCTCCTTCTTTCTCCTTCTTTCTCTTCTCCTTTTCCCTTCCTTCTTGAAGTGATGCCATGACTACTTGTCGTTGACAGTCTCTTTATTATTTGACTAAGTTAACGTATGTACAACCTACTAAGTTGTCATATGTACATCTGGCCATGTTCTAGCGGGAAGTTCATTCTCATTTTGCACATTTCGAGAGTGGTGTGGCGATGCCCTTGTTAGGAAGTGCTACGAAGCTTTTGCCGCCTACTCGAACTTAACTTACGGATTTTCTAAAAAAGGACGTAAGAATCAAGGCATCATTACTAGCCGAGGCGCGTGAGTGACCCACCGGTAGGGGTGTTTTTTCCACTTATTCGGAACTCGTTTTAGTAGGCAAAATACGCGATGTTGTATATTTCCACATAACGGACCACATTCTAGGGGAAGCTTTTATTTTTCCAGATTTGGTGAGTGGTGGAGCGAGGCCCATACGATCGCAACAGAGTAGAAATTCTGAAGCAGAACAGAAAAGGCTACTATCAGGAGAAGAGAAAACGGAGAGAGACGCACAGGCGAGATTGCAAATTTCATCTCTGCTCACAGGAAATCCACGGCAACTGTCATAGACAGTGAGAGGATGGGTACGTGTCAACAAGACTGACACACAGACGACCGCAACATACGAGAATGCTGAAAAATAAGAGACAAAAACACCGAGAGAAGAGAGAAGGGGGGGGGGGGGAGGAAACGCAAGGGCGAGATTGCAGATTTGCCATTTGGTACTAATGGGATTTCCTTGCTGTTTCTCTTCCCCCCCAAACCAAAAAAAAAACAGAGATGATCTGCAAATTTCAGCTCTGCTACCGTCTTCACCCGAACAGAACGTACGACAACTATCTGTGTAGCTAGACGGAGGGCATACTCACATACTAGCACTTTTTTACTTATTTCTGGACGGAAGTGGGCCAGATGCATACAGGTTGGGCCATAAATGCAGCCAGATGCATTTATGATAGTGCTAGTGTGAGTACCCCCTGGAAGTTGCCCAAAATACAGGACTAATGACCGTACGTTCCATTCAGGGAAGAAGGTAGGAAGGAAGTTCACGGAATCGATCATGCAGAGGGAGAGGGTGGGTAAGTGATCAGAAGAATGAAACGTAAACGTAGGACCGCACCATACGAGAAATGCTCGAAGGAAGAAAAAAAAAAAAAAAAAAAAAACAAGAGGAAAGGTACTCAGAGAAAGAGGGGAAACAAACGCAGAGGCGAGATCTGCAGATTTCATCTTTGCTAGCGAGGGGAATTGACGGCAATATGGAGAGGGAGAGGGTGGGGCGTGTTGAGGAGACTTGCCCGTCTGCCGTACTCCACAATGGGAGGGATGAAAAAAAAAACAAAAAAAAAAACAAGAGGAAAGGTACTCAGAGAAAGAGGGGAAACAAACGCAGAGGCGAGATCTGCAGATTTCATCTTTGCTAGCGAGGGGAATTGACGGCAATATGGAGAGGGAGAGGGTGGGGCGTGTTGAGGAGACTTGCCCGTCTGCCGTACTCCACAATGGGAGGGATGAGCATGCAGACCAGGGGAACGTTGGCGAGGACAGCGGAGAAGGCAGCAGCCGGTAGAGAGAACTTAAAAATGATCCACGGCAGACTGCTCTGCCACCCAGTTTGACGACGGTCCTCTCTGTCCGCCATGCCGCTGCTGCTGCTGCTGCTGCGGAACAACAGCTTGCTTATGTATTCCAAACCTCCAGACTGTTCTATGCCTGCACCCACGACACGGTACCAACCCACAGTCACGTTCAATCTCCACTCCACTTCATGTATGCGCCCATTGGTGTGTGACTCTCTCTCTCTCTCTCTCTCTCTCTCTCTCTCTCTCTCTCTCTCTCTCTCTCTCTCTCTCTCTCACTCACACACACACACACACACACACTCACACACACACACACACACACACACACACACAAGTACACTATCTCCCGCTCAGTAAGCCGCAATCGCTCATCGACGAACTCGGTCTACGTGTGAGTGCAAGTGCGGGAGTGCACGTCCCTGCGCGGGTGTCTCGCTCAGTGGCTCTGTCTCCTATGACAGATTGGAATATGTCTATGCGCGTGCAGGGCGCCGACCAGGAACGTTCGTCTCTGGCTTCCCTTCTGTCTTAAATCACCCCCGAGAGCTGGGAGTGCTCATCAGCGTCGCCTGCACGCTGCTCTGATCACCCCCGAGAGCCGGGAGTGGTCATCAGCGGTCTGCGCTAGCAGTACAGTGCATAGTTGCATGCAGATATACATGCACACATGCATTCATACATATGTATCTATATATATATATATTGTCACATTGTGAATCAGAGCGCAAAAAAGGGAAAAGAAAAAAGGAAAAGGAAAAAAGGGAAAGGGAAGGAGGTAAGGAAAGCT